CATGAATACAACCTAATAAAAAAGGCCCGCATTTAACCCATTACTAATAACATTACTGATACCTATTACCTAGAAGAAGTGTAGGGTTTAAGGTTTGCTAGATTTTTTAAACTTTGAATTCTAGATTTAAGGGATTTTTTTTATGCTTTTACATATTACTTTTTTGCTAGGAAAGACTATTATACAATTCCAAGTATTAGATTTGTAAAAGAAGTGTTCAATATGAACTTTCTCAAAGATATACAATAAGGATGGTATTTACGAATGCCGACTGAAATCAAAAGAAGATTACCTATTGCGCTTAAGTAGTGTATGATATCAACACTGTAAAATATCATAAGTATATAGCAAATGTTTTGGCAAAATGACGGTTAAAGTAATGTTAAAGATGGATGCACAGTTGGTTTGGAAGAAATTAAACTAAATTTTAAAGGTTAGTATACAACTAAATCTTGCCTCAAGGTAAATTTCAACCCTAATGCTAAATCCTCAAGTTTTCCAATCCTAAAGCTAGACATGTTTGGCTTAAACTTATTGACTAGTCCAAATCTAATACTTTCTTCTCTCTTCCCTTATAGGATTAAATTGCTTGGAAAGCTAAAAAAGAAGCAAGAAATGGAAATTCCATGAAACTCAATGGCAAAGATTACTTGGTCATGTCTGCTTGAACATTTAGAAAGAAAGATAATAATTTTTTACTTAATGGATGATGACATTGAGACACCTAAAAGATTATCTAAAAAATCCAAACAACTTAATAATGGTAAAATCTATTTTTGTTCCCAAACATTAATTTCCTTAAATCTATTTTACCTAAATTTTTATTTTTCAACTGCTAAACCAAATGGGATCCTAAGTACAAGATTTTGAGTTAGAATGTTTTTATGCCCAAAAATTATCTTTGAAAAATTATCCCTATTCGAGCTATGTGAATTTTTAAATATAGTCTAATATTCATAAAAAAACATAGTTTAATGATATCAAATATTAGAGATTCTTTAATTCTCTAAAACATATGCACACTATAAGGTTTATTGTTTAGGATTTAAGGTTTTAAGGTTTTGGGGCTTGGGGTTTTAGGATTTAGGGTTCGAGGTTTTAATTTTTAAGGGGTTTGGCATTTAGGGTTTGTGTTTTAAGGTTTAGGTTTTTAGGTTTTCGAGTTTAGGTTTTGGGCTTTGGGGTTTTTAGGTTTTGAGGTTTGTGGTTTTAGTGTTTAGGGTTTGGGGTTTGGGTTTAAGGGGTTTTGGGGTTTAGGATTTTAAAGTTTACGGCTTGGGTTTTAGAGTTTTAGGGTTTGGGATTTGGAGTTTGGGGTTTTAGGTTTTAAGGGGTTTAACACTTAAGGTTTAAGGAGTTTAGCATTCAAGGTTTGTGTTTTCAAGTTTAAGGTTTTAGGGTTTCAGGTTTAAGTTTTAAGCTTTATGGTTTTCAAGTTTTGAGGCTTGTGGTTTTAGTGTTTAGGGTATGGGGTTTAGGTTTAGTGTTTTAGGGTTTAGAGATTAGGTCTTAGGTTTAGGGTTTGGACTTTTAGGTTTTAAGGTTTAGGGGTTTTTTGGGTTTAGGGTGTAGGATTTGGGGTTTAGTATTTTAAAGTTTGTGATTTAGGGTTTTAGGGTTTAGTGTTTATGATTTAGTGTTTAGGGTTTATAGGGTTTAGCATTTAGAGATTATGGTTTAAGGGTTTGTGGTTTGGGTTTTGTAGAATTGGGGTTTGGGGTTTAAGGGTTGGGAGTTTAGGGTTTTATGATTTTAAAGATTTAGTATTTAGGGTTTATGGTTTTAGGATTTAAAGGGTTGACTAGTTAAGGTTTTAGAAATTTAGTATTTAAGGTTTGGGGTTTTTATTGTTTGAGGTTTATTGTTTAGGGTTTTGGTTTACGTTGAGGGTTTTTGCCCTTTATACAAGAAAGCTATACACTATTGATAACAAAAAAAAAAGGGGATAAAAATAATACAAAAGTAAATATTTAAAATTTTATATAGTAATGATAACAATTTTTGGTCTATTAATGCCTCAACTATCTAAAAAATATAACAAATTGATTAGCTATAATTCTACAATATAATGTTGTGTTTAATAACATTTTTTTAGCTAAATGACTTTTTAACCCTTATGTAAAAATAATATAATTATCAGTAGAGGCTTTGAAAAATAAAATTAAAAATTATGAGGGTTAATTTTAAAGTTTAAATTTGAGAAGGGTCATATGCATCTATTTCAAAGTTTGAAAGGGTTTTATACATTTTTGTCTAAAAAGTTAACTAAAAAAGAAGTAAACTAATGATAAATAGATTTCTGATTAAATTTTTTTAAAAAAAATTACTTGCGAATATTAATTTAAATAATTAAAAATTTATAAATTTATTATAATTATATATAAAACATTTAAATTTTAAATATAATTCTTCTATCATGATTGCAGTTAATGGTCAATGGAATTGCTTTCCATTACAGTAAATCTGGTTTTATTTCACTAGACGCCTGTCCGCAATCCACTTCTAATCTTAAGCCAAAAACAAAGCGCGTCTTCCTACTTTCGAGACTTGTTCTTTTTGACTCTTTAAACGTTTTTTTTTTTTTTTTGACTCTTTAAAGTTTAATCGACGGCAATCATACCTTTTGCTTACAATTCACACCTCTTTAATCAACAGTAATCATATTATATTGCCTCCACTCCTTTAGTAACAGCTACACGAACTTAAATCTGTACATCTTTTTTCTTTATACCAAATGAAACCTCAGATACAGCATCACATATTAGATTTTTTATATTATGAATGTTTAAAAATAATATATTTATTAAAATAATTTAAGTCGCTGAGTTAGATATTTCTTAAATTTACATATTTATTATTTATCTTTTAATATTTAAATGTGAGATTTTTTATATATTTTAATACTTTTTTATTATTTTTTTCTTCTTTTTTTTCATTTTTCTTCTCCCTAAGTTTGTATTTTTTTTAAGTTTTAGAGGTTTCACATCGATTCAATTTTTTATTCTTCTTCTCCTTCTTTCTTTGTTTTTTTAATCACTTGGTTTTTTCATGTTTCAGTCTTTCATTTATGATATTATATTAAATTTTTAAATATTAAAAGATAGATTATAAATATTTAAGCTTTGAAAGTATCTAATTAAGTGACTTAAATTATTTTGATAAAATATATTATCCTTAAATTTATATATTTATTATTTACTTTTTTAAATTTTAAATGTGAGATTTACTTTTTATGTTTTAATACCACAATGGAAAAAAAAAAAACAAAGAAAGAAAAGGGAAACCAAAATATACAAAATCACGCATTGCTCAGTTATTTCTGGTAATTGACATTTATGCCAAAAAAAAAAAGCTAATCCGAATTATTCACTATCCATTGAATTTGGCATATTCACACTAAAAATAAATGAAAACTTTTGTATTATGTCAATGACATGAAACGAGTTGAACGGTTGAAGTGACTATTGATTTATTCAATCTATTAAAAAATATAAGACATTTTTAAAGGATTAGATGTTAAAAATATAAAAAAATTTAATCATTCAAAATGTAATCATTGTTTTTTTTTTTAAGTGTCCATAGTAATGAATTACTTTATATTTATTATTGGGTATTTAATAAGGGGTAAATATAAAAAGATAGAGTTAGTAACACTATTAAAAATGAAGTTCAATTAAAATGTCTTATATTTTTTAACGAAAAGAATATTACTTATGAGACAATAATATTAAAAACACATCACTACAATATTTTTATTTTATGGCAATAGTTAGAAGCTGTTGTAACAGGTTGAAAAACTATTATCTATAGGCATAGGCATGAAACCTGCCCTCATTACCTGTAATTTAAGGTAATAATTTTTTATATTTTAGGCTAAAAGTCATAAAACTATTGCCTATAGGAAGACATTAGGCAACAATTTTGAAATGCTAAAGTAAGCAATAGTTTTTACTTGTTGCCTATAACATAAGTATAAGCAACACTTAAGAATTGTTATGAAAATATTAAGTAAAAAAAACATTATATATATAGATGTATAAAAGAATATAGATAAGTTATCAAACTTTGGATTTGAACCTTGATCCATTTAAAGTAATGAGATGACTTTAAGCGCTCTTCTAACATGACTTTTAATTATTATAATGTAAAACATTATATATATATATATATATAGATAATTGTTATATTAAATTTTAAATTTTTCTAATTAATAAAAAATAAATTAAGAAATTAAAAGAAATAAACAAATAAAAGAATATAGATAAGTTATCAAAAAATAAAAATAATTTTTTATTAATAGAAAAAATAATAGGCAGTGGTTTTTAAATATTGCTAAAAAAAATATTTACAAGCAACATTCATTTTTTTGTTGCCTCTTAACATAGAAAATAATTTTAAAATGTTGCAAAAAAAATGTAATTATAGGCAACAATCTTTTATATTGTTTATTTAAAAATTTTATTGTAACACTTAAAAATTATTATTTATTTTACTTTAAAAAATAATTTTTAAACGTTACTAAATATTTATTACTTAAAGTAGATATTCATAAAAATGTTGCTTATATTCATATTAGGGTAACATTTTTAGAACTGTTGTAATTAAAATTATTGTTTAAAGTAAAAAATGTTGCAGTGCATTATACACAGAAGCACTTCAATGCATGCAAAAAAAAAAAACGTAACGGAGAAATTTAAGAGAAAGTCATTAACATAAATTAATTAATTAATTAACTCTAACAGCAAGTCATTAATTAATAAAAATATAAAATACTGTATGATTACATTAATAGCATGTTTATGTACGTACCATTAACAGGAACGTGACTATGCTGACTTACTGAGTGAGAAGTCAAGTTCAAGCTCTTTTATTTTATTTTATTTTGAGCAAAAGAAAGTGCTCTTTTATTAATTATTATCACATTTCCCTCCTTTCCACTACGGGCCATAATTATAATTTCTCGTAGATTCTTCATCACTTTGCATCAACTTCTACTTTTCCTCCACCCCACATTGTCTTCCCCACATTTCATCTTCACTCTTCAGCCTCATTCTCACTCTCACTGTATCACACAGACACGCAGCCTCACTTTTTCCCCTGCCCTTGCCAATGGATCCCAACAACAAGCCACAGAAGAAGAAGTGCTTTCTCTCACTTGTTTTCTCTCTCCTCCTATCCACTTTCCTCATCTTACTCTCCGTCTCCGTCTCCTCCAACCCATCCTCTCACTTCAATCCTTCTTCTCGGAGCGTCGTTGCCCATGAAAAGCCGCGTTTCGTTGAATCCAAGCTTCGCGTGTCCCCCACGTCCGCCGACCCTGTTCCCAGAATCGCCTACTTGATATCTGGATCAATGGGAGATGGCCGGAGTCTCAAGAGGACGCTCAAGGCTCTTTACCATCCGAGAAACCAGTACGCCGTGCATTTGGACCTCGAGGCCTCCGAAGAGGAGAGGCTGGACTTGGCTAAATTCGTCAGAGACGAGCCCGTCTTCGTGAGATTCGGGAACGTGAGGATGGTAGTGAAGGCTAATTTGGTTACGTATAGAGGACCCACCATGGTCACTAACACGCTTCATGCGGCGGCTATTTTGCTCCGGGAAGGTGGAGATTGGGATTGGTTCATTAATCTCAGTGCTTCCGATTACCCGCTGGTCACTCAGGACGGTACGAATTGCTCTGCTCTGCAAAATTTTTCTTTCGTGAATTGTTGCTTTGCTTGAATTGAGGGATCACTTTCTTCTTTTTGTTTCTTGTGTGTGCGCTTTTCCTTTGGAAATTGATTCAATTCGACAGGGCTTCTTCTTTTTTTTTTTTTTTGTTTCCTTTCTCCCCTCTAAAGGTCAAGACAACACTCGATTCTGGGATTTATTGAAAATCTTGTGCTTCTGAATTTAATGCCGTTTTGTTGGGGCTTGAATCCGCCAGAATCCTGAATTACTAATTGTTTCTTTTTATTTTTTGGACAAAACATTATTACTAATTGTTTCTTAATTAATGTTTTCCAACACTTGGCTTATTAATTAATTACCTAAATGCATTAAAGATTCACCGTATAGTTGTCGGTGCACTGCTATCTCTGTCCCTTGGAACTTGGAAGCTTTGATGGTTAGCTGAGTCTTGTTTGACTCAGGTACTTCCGGTTCGCTATGGTAAGAAAGGTTTTTAAGCATGTTGAAATTTATTTGTAAAATGTTTAAATTTAAATACCTTAAATATTTAATGCTCTGACGGTTTTAAATACTCCCTCTCTCTTAAATTATAAAATATTTTTAAATAAAATTTAAATATTAATAAATTTATTAAATACACTTAACAATTTTATCTTTTTAAAATAAAAATATAAACTTTTAAAAATATCTATCATTTAATATATTAAAAAGAGAAGGGGCGAAAATTAATTATAGAAAGAGAAACAATAATATTAAAATTGATATATTTAATAAAACCTTAATCTACTCAAAATGTGTTATATTTTGAAGTGGATAAACTTATTTAAAAGTATCATATAATTTAAGATGAAAGAAATAATATAGATGGGGATAGGATAATTTTTTTTTATGCGCGCCTAACTTAAATGTTTTATAGATAAATTTCGCGGCCTTATAGTATTAATTTGAATGACTTCTTTTGCGTAACAGATCTGCTACATACACTCTCAACCATACCGAGGCATCTTAACTTCATTGAGCACACCAGTGATATTGGCTGGAAAGAGTACGTTGCTAACTCTTTTCAGATTTTGTTCACTGTATCTAATTTCTTCAAAATCACCGTGCTGTTAAAAAAAATTCAAAATGACCTGATCTTATTTACCAGTTAAAAGTTTACCATTTTCAATATAGGCATCAGAGGGCCAGGCCTATTATTATCGACCCAGGTCTTTATAGCGTTCATAAATCTGATGTATTTTGGGTGACACAGAAAAGAAGTGTGCCCACTGCTTACAAGCTGTTTACAGGTGAGAAACCTGGTCTCTGATGTCTCTCATTTTGACTCCGCACTACCCAAAAAGCAATAAAAAAGAGAACTTGATCGATTGAATTCAATTAATTGTATAAATCCAAGGACTTTGCTTCTTGATTTTGCTCAGGTTCTGCATGGATGATGCTGTCTCACCCATTTGTTGAATACTGTTTGTGGGGTTGGGATAACTTGCCAAGGATAGTCTTGATGTATTACGCCAACTTCTTATCATCACCTGAAGGATATTTCCACACAGTTATCTGCAATGCTGAGGAGTTTCGCAACACAACTGTGAACCATGATCTCCATTTTATATCATGGGACAACCCTCCAAAACAGCATCCACATTTCCTTACAGTTCATGATTACCAGAGAATGGTGAACAGCCATGCTCCTTTCGCAAGAAAATTTGGCAGGAACGTACCAGTACTAGACAAGATTGATTCTGAGCTCTTGGGCAGGAAGGCGGATGGATATGTGCCTGGTGGTTGGTTGAGACAGACAAATTCAAACATCACTAAACCAGATTATGTTGTGAGAAACACTACTGATCTTAGGCCTGGTCCTGGTGCTGAGAGGCTGAAACAGCTCATCAATGGTTTGTTATCAGCAAAGGATTTTAAGGCAAAACAGTGTCCATGAAAGCTGGGTTCGGCAAACCCTCCTTTCCATTGCTCAGAAGCAAAATGCCAAGTCATCTCTTCATCAGGTCGCTCTGGGATCATCGTCACACGGTAAGAATGATAGAACGCAACAGAAGAATGAAATGACTGTTTCTCTGCAAATACGCTTTACCGATGGCCGACTTTACTCACACACATTTGGTATACTACCACAAGTTTGGAGTTATTATGTATCAGATTGCTTCATACGATATTCAGGAATTTTTACTGGACTACTAGTACTACCAGTCATCAATAAAATTTTATTATTCTGAATAATGTCTTGATAGCAAATGAGAAATAAGAGAGTTCAATTTTTTTTTTTTTTTTCTGGTTACTGTCTTGCTGAGCCTGCAAGAAGAAGATTGGGTACCCTGTGACCGTGGGTTGCCTGGATTGCTAGCTCTATTATATTATAACGGAGAAAATAATTAAATACTACTTAAGTTAACTATATTCATTTTTTACTTTTAGTCTTTATAATTTATTTTTATAATTTCTCATTCTTTTTATTTGTTTCATGAAATTTTAGTTCGTTTAATTTTAAAAATAATCTAAAAAGATCATAAGTTAGCACAAATAATGGTAAATTTATTAAGGTTGACTTGATACTATTAAACTCATTAAATGATTAGAGAGAACAACATGATAACTTGAAATATAAAAAATGCTCAGTTCATGGGCACATAAAAATTTTAGTTAGAGATTTGTTGGATTCTCAAATAGGTTTTGTAGCTTTATATGTCCTGAAGAATCCTTAGGGATGCAAATGTAGAATTGATTTAACGGTTCTACCTCAGCAAAATTAACACTGTTCAGGCCAACTCATGGTTTTTCCGAGTATTTTCTAATTAAACTAAAACAACTAATATTTCACACAAAGAAAATAAAAATAATAAAAAAATATATGAAAATAAATTATAAAGACAAAAAATAAAACAAAATTAAAATATAGTGACCTGGATTTTTTCTATTACAACGTAATTTCCCCATTATACCTCTAAACAATAGTAGGTATGAAGCCAAGAGCCTTGTGGGTGCACATGTTCTTAAAGACAATAGAAGAATATGCCTAAAGTGATACATTGGCTCTACAATCAGGGGAGAGATTCAGTCTTCCTTCCCGTACTCTTTCTCTCCTTATTTTTTTTCTCACCATTAATTAACATTTAGACAATGTATATTCGATCTCCTATAAATAATTATTAAAATATTAAGAAATATAAATAATAAAATTCAAGCTGTTAAATTTTAATATGAATAATTAAAAATTCAGAAAAATAAAATAAAATAAAATCTTTTAAAGAGATCAAATTTAGATCGTCTAAATGATGATTTAAATTGTTAAAAATTAAATTAAAAAAAGGCGAGAAAGAGGAGAGAATCTTCCCCTACAATTATGAATTGAATAGAATTTATGGGAAAAAAGAATTAAAATTAAATAGAATTTATCTATGATATACTATGTAGTGAACATCTTTTTTAATAATAAATATTAAATAAAAAAAATAATCACAAGGTAGTCATTTTCTCTTATATTCCAAAATCATTTTTATCATCATCATCATGAAATATCAGCACATGATGAATTATTTTATCAATCAAATGATTAACTTTATGTTTATTTATCTATTTATTTTCTAAACAAGCAGTGCCCTCCATAAGTTTAAAAGGATGCTCAATATTTATCGGACACTATCAATCAACTTTTAGACAAGCACATTGGATCTCGTCCCGTCGATTAATTGAAAAAAAAAATGCTTTAATCCAAAACAATAATGATGTGAGGCCCGTCATTGCCCTTTGGCATCCTATTTCTTTCAAAAATATGTTTTTTTAAAAAAGAAAAAAGAAAACATGTTTTTAAAAATGTGATCAACAAGATGACAGGAGTCACAGGACAGCCTTTCACTCTCCTTAGTCGTTTGTATTACTGTTTTCATGAGATGGACGGGTAAGAGATTAGGGTTACAAAAAAAGTAAAATAGCATTTATTAAAAAAAAAATTGACGTTACTTTAACAGGCTCAATACTTTAAAATAATATAACTAAAATTACAGCTAAGTCAAGATAGGAAATACTGTAAAAACTCGTGAAAATATAGAACCAAAAGTTATGTTTCTCATAAATATTATTTTGTTTGTCAAAAATATTTTATATTTTTTAAATAGTTGTATATTCTAAAAATGTAAGGTATTTTTAGTCTTTTAAAATATAATTATTTTTTTTTCCTAAAAGTGCTTCTATTAATGAATGACTTTATATTTATTGTAGGGTGTTTAATAAAAATAAATATGAAAAGATATAATTAATTTAAAAATAGGTAATTAATTTATTAAAAGGTGAAATTTCATTAAAATATTTTATATTTTTAAACGGATAAAGTATTATATCTTCTAAAAAATAAAGATGAGTTTTCCCTCTTCATGAGTCGAAAATTTCCCAAAAATGAATTTGGTGGGGCAAATGAAAAAATTTAGAGGGAAAATCTACTTCCCCTCTTGAAAAGCTTATTCCCATAGTCCCATTAGACATCCTCTAAATTCACCATCTTGAGAAAAGAATCAAGCAACTTACATATTTCTGGCGCCTGTGGATGAGATTGATCACCAGCATGAAACTCTTCAACTACATTATTTACTTCTATTATGCTACATCCAGGTTTCTTTTTCATTCCTGCTTCTGATATCATCTTCCTCACCCTGCTAGCCTCTACATCCCACCCAGCTTCCTTGTATATATTGTATGACAGAACATGAGTTCCACTGTCAGCTACACCCATATCAACCAGCTTTTTCCACACTCTGTTTCCAATGTCCACGTTGTTGTAAATTCTACATGCATTTAGAAGAGCACCCCACACATTGGCATCTCCACCTGCAAGTCCACCCATCTTCTCTTCAATAAAATTCTCTGCTTCCTCCATCATGCCTGCTCTGGATAAAAGGTCAATGACACAAGCATAATGCTCTGCCCTGGGTTTAATCCCATAAACAATGTTCATTTCTTCAAAAAATTGAAGGCCTTCCTGAACCATCTTTGCATGTGTACATGCAGTAAGGACTGCCACAAAAGTAGTCTCAGAGGGCTTAGTCCCATTTATAGCCATTTGATGAAATAGTTCTAAAGATTTGCTTGCATCACCATTCAAAGCAACCCCAGAGATCATAGCATTCCAGGCTCCAGTATCCTTACACGGCATGGCCTCGAAAACAGATAAAGCTGAACCAACACATCCACATTTGGAATACATATCCACTAAAGCTGTGGCCAGTATAGGATTTGACTCCAAATTGAATCGCTTGGCATAAGAATGAACCCACAATCCTTGCACGAGTGCACCAAGATGAGCGCAAGCAGTGAGTACGGTTACAAGGATTGACTCATTTGGCTTGTTGCCTGTGTTCTGCATTTCTGAGAACAAAGCAAGCACCTCCTTGAAGTTACTAACTCGAGAGTATGCTGCCATCATTGCACTCCACGATATAACATTTCTTTCAGGCATTTGCACTCCACGATATAACATTTCTTTCAGGCATTTCATCAAACAGCTCTCTAGCGCTTTGTACATCCCCGATCTTGCCATAACCATCGA